ATTATTAATATAAATAATAAAATAAACAGAAAAAGTAAAGAAACCAGTGAATAATATATAATAATTATAATTTGTTAATAACATTTATTTACCTGGTAAGTTCACTGCCAAGGATATCTCCCTCCATCAATTTTCTTTCATCAAATTGTTTTTAAAATTACGATCTTGATGATTATATAAATGTGGATATGCTCTCACTGCATCAATGAGTAGTTCATCACTTTCTTTAAAGCTGTCGTTGTCAATTGTCGTTATTTCATAATTTTCTAATTCATTAAACATTGTATTACAATACTGATTATCAGGGTTGGAAGTAACGCGTTACTTGTAATGACGTTACTATTTCGTTACTTTTTTTTGGTACCGATTTGGTAACGCCGTTACTTTTTTGTATCAGTAACGAAAAAGTAATGGCGTTACATTTTCTTTAGTAACGAGTAACGAAATTCATCGTTACTTATATCGTTACTTTTTACTATGATGGCTTCTACAGAACGCGGCAATGCTTGCTACGTGATGAAAGTTTGCACATGATAAACAATTAATGTGCTGCTTTCCGTAAAGCCCATTCTACAATAAGCAATAAATCTTAAGTCATAATAAAATTGACCAACCATAGTCGACTATTATATAGAAGAATAATCCATTGTAATTGGTCAATTTTATTGCGACTTAAAATTTATTGCTTATTGTAGAAAGTCTCTAAAGCGTGATCTACAATGAGAACTTAAGCCATAAAATTTAAGCTTTAATCTCTAAGCCGTAAGAAATTATTTTTCTTATAATTGACTGTGATTGGTCAACTTCTTACGGCTTAGGATTTAAAGCTTAAATTTTATGGCTTAAGTTCTCATTGTAGACCACACTTAAAGGGCGTCACATACGAATTGAAATAACAGTAATGTAAGACGTACTGTAAGAACTGACCAATCACTTTGAGTATCGTCGAACCGTAAGGTCGCCATTTTTGTGAATACTCGATTGTAATTGGTCCATTTTTACGGTACGCTTACGTTACTGTTATGTCAATTCGTGTGCGGCGCCCTTAAAGCCCATTCTACATTAGTCGCAATCGCAAGATCGCAAGGAAATTGTACCAATCATAATTGATTATTCTTCGATCGCAAGAAGAACAATCGATTATGATTAGTCAATTTCTTTGCGACCTTGCGACTTGCGACTAATGTAGAATGGGTTTTATATCGTTATGCAATAATGTGTGCTTCCCGCTTAAATATCTTATATTTTGTCTTTATATATGTATAATTTATGTACTGTCTCTTCTACTATTCGTTTTATATGCCGATTTTAACTTTTCTTTTTTACAAAAGTAATGGAAAGTAAAGCGTCTTCTACAATGGCAGTAGGAGTAGTAGTAAGAAATAAGCAGTAAGTAAATAGACCAATCACAATCGATTATTTTTGAAACGTGAGAATGGAATTGGTCAATTTGCTTACTGCTTATTTCTTATTACTACTCCTACTGCCATTGTAGAAGACGCTTAACGATTTTTTTATCGTTACTTTTCAAATAACGGTAACGCGTTACTTTTTAGAATCAGTAACGAGTAACGGTAACGAGTTACTTTTTACCGCAAATAATAGTAACGGTAATGCGTTACTTTTAAAAAGTAACGTTCCCAACCCTGCTGATTATGATCACTCATTATTTCACTGTGACAGACGCAGTTGATGCAGGAGACATATACCTTTCTTAACTTGGCATCGAATTTTTGCGCAAATCCCATAAATTCTGATTGGCTGACAGAAGGACGTATACCGTAAGAATTTCATCCTTGTGATATTTTCGACGTTACGGTTAAGTTTTACTGACAAAAGTGGTGAGGATAGTGGCAACATCAGGATTGATCGATTTTCTTACGTTTACGGCTTACGGTGCTACGGAATTTTGTGTGTGATGGCCTTAAGAGTGCGTACGTCTCGATTTTGTGGACAAGCTCTTACATGCCATTAGAATTTATTGCTTGTTTTTCGTCAACTACAAAGGAGATATCGATGTGATTAAAAAATATTTATTTTTCCAAAGTTCATTCTATTGGAATTAGAAGTTTTTAAATGTAATATTAATACTGGAGCGTTAAGTAAAGCGTAGGAGAAAAACGCGTAGAAAAGTCAGAGTTTTTTTAATGAAATCGATATCTTTTAACTTCTAATTTATAATTACAAATCTCTAATTCCAATAAATTTCATTAGAAAAGTCGGTGTTTTTTGAGTGGCATCGATATCTTTTTTCTAGTTGCTGAGAAATAAACAATAAATGCTAGCGGCATATAAGAGCCTGCTCGCGACGTCGAGACGTACGTGCGCTCCCACGCTTTACCTAAAACAGTGGTATTATTCATACTATTATAAAATATTAATGCCAATAGAATAAACTGTTGAAAAGTCAGTGTTTTTTAAATGACATCAATATATTTTGTAGTTATCAAGAAATAAGCAATAAATACTAGCGGATGTAAGAACCTGCATATAATACTCAAATTAAAATTATTTTTTTTTCTTGTATCTAATAGCGTGTTCGACTAACCTTGGGTTAATCGCTTCGAGAGCGATTAATGATGTCATAAGTCTCTACTAGCCAATCATAAAGCTTATAAGTATTTGTTCGACCAATAAACGTAGGCTGAAAACCTAGAGTGTTAAGGGGACCCGATTGACCACGATACGATTGGACACAGATTGTAATGATTGGTTCGACCTAGTAATTCACTAGATAATTCTTTTCATCGGTTGGTTGTGTCCAATCGTACTGTGGTCAATCGGGACGCTCCCGTGGGTTAACCCAGAGCCAGTCGAACATACTATTAATCAATGTTCCCATGCAAATGATTCCTTAGTTACAATGACTAGAAAACGTAAACCTGAAAATTCTTCTGGAACGAGTAACGCGATGAGTCAATAGCTGAGCGAGATGTTTTTTTAACGATAAGATCGCCACTAACTTGTCTCTGTGTCAGTGATAGAAATTTTGGTCACGAGTAGCACGTACAGCACGGGATGGGATACATACACACTTACGCGACAGTGTCCGTGAAGCTCACGAACACTGTCGCGTGAGTGTGTGCGTATCCTCTTCCGTGCTAATACGTGCTGTTCGCGAACCAAAGTTTCTATCACTGCTCTGTGTCTACCGCTGCGATTGTTTCTCACCTGTTGTGAGACAAGAACAGATGATGATTGTCTGTCTTTGTCTAACATCAAGAATCGTGAACATTACTTCTTTATCTATTGAGACAATCCGTGCACATTGACTACGTATGTGCACAGTTGGTTAGAGGCGCTGTAAGCCATTTCAGCTTAAAGTCACTAAATATACAAGATGTCTCACACTCTCCTCTGGGCATTTTATGGGGACGTAGAATGGGTTGATGTAAACATAAAAGTCCTATACCGTTTTGCGAAATTCGCAATAATAGTCGAGATATTAATTAAAAAAGATCAAGGAAAAATGCATGCTGAATGGTAGAGAATGGACCGCTCGAGTCACAGCGCGGCCCAGTAATAAAGCGCGCGATGATTGGAAGACAATGCACCACTGCCTATTTTTATCTCGGCGCGGTGCGGCAAGACCTAGGAGCGCAGCGGTATAAGCGGTATGGCAGTGGTGCATTGTTTTCCAATCACCGCGCGCGACATCTGCGCGCTATATTACTAGGCCGCGCTGTGACTCGAGCGGCTCGTCCTCTATCATTCAGCGTGCGTTTTTCCTTAATCTTTTTTAATTAATATCTCGATTATTAATGCGAATTTCGTAAAACGGTATACGACTTTTATGTTCACATTAACCTATTCTACGTCCCCACAAAATGCCCGGCGGAGAGTGTGAGACACCCTGTATAAAACCGCAATTCATGGTTAAGCTAGCAACACACACTTTTGGCTGCGTTTAGATTCCCCACCCGGGTGTATTCTATTACTAGAAATGCTACAGCATATGTGACATATACTATAGTGTTTCTAGTAATACACACTAGAGTGCACCCGGATGAAGAATCTGAACGCACCCTTTCGTAACAGTAACCGTAAGACGTAACGTAACGTAAGAATTGACCAATCGAGTATTTACGATCGAGTATTCATAAAAATGGCGACCTTATGATTCGATGATTCTCAACATGATTAGTCAATTCTTATGTTACGTCTTAACGCCAAATCACACTAAAGCCTGTATCAGATTACGGATTAAGATTGAGATTGAATTAAAAACTAGCCAATCAGAGCAAAGTTCACCAAACTTGAGCTTAGTGAATTTTACTCTGATTGGCTAAATTTCAATTTAATCTCAATCCTAATCTAGTCTGATACGGGCTTAACGATTGGCAATAGATGATTGACCATTGAAGATTGGAACTTGACCAATTGAAACAAAACAAGCCAAGGCTGAAGCTTGTTGATTCGTTAAAATCTAATCTTTAATTGTCAATCGTCAATCGCCAATCGCTAGTGTGATTTGGCCTTTACGGTTACTGTTACGGAAAGTGTATGTGGCCAGCTTTAAGCTGGTGGCACATAGAAAAACTTAAACAGTAATGGCTCCTGCACACAAAATGCGGTAATGCTTGCCGCGCGGCGGAAGTTGGCGTAATAGCCAATCAATATGGTGCTTTCCGTAAAAGCTTCTAGCTCTTACGGAAAAACAACATATTGATTGGCTGTCACGCTGACTTCCGCCACGCGGCAAGCATTACCGCGTCCTGTGTGCAGGAATTATTAGAATAAAAATGGCCGCGTTCAGTAGAACAAGTGATCAGTAAGCGCTCAGTGTGCTCTTGCATCTGATTGGAGTATAGTTGGAGATCTAAAAGAATATGCCAAATCATATACAAGAGCTCCCTGAGCGCTTACTGATCACTTGTTCTACTGAACGCGGCCAATGATGTCGGAAGTGTACCTAGTGTAAACGTGTAACTTATAGCGAATTCGGTAGCTTGCACTAGTGCGCACTGAGTTCGCATTAAGGCTTGTTTACAGTACATTCTTATATTTAAGATCGTGTCTTAAATACATATTTAAAAACATTTTAACTAATAAAATGATTCGTACGGATGTTATACATCATATTATGGTTAAAAATATTTGAGAATTTATTTGAGAATTATTTAAGACAATCTTTAAATATAATAACATACTATGAACAAGCCTTAGTGCGCACTCAGTGCACACTAGTGCAAGCAACCGAATTCGCTATTATTTACAAATTAAGTGCAATTCTATGAAGTAGCTGTTGAGAAATAGCTGTTTATTATGTGTTACAAATGTTAAATGTTATACAAATAAAAAAAGTGATAAACATTATTGTTTTTTTCTACTTTACGCAATATATTCATACAAATATAGACGTTTTGAATCAACCGCGTGTGGCTGGAATAAACATGGCGGATAATTGCGGTACTTTATATATCTAGTGACTTTAATTTCAGCTGAAATCGGGATCAGCTAAAACCGGTCCATGGCCCCTCTCCTTCTTCTTTCTGCCTGTATACTATTCGGAGAGATATATATTTAATTATAAGAAAAAATTAATTTTTTGAAATGTAATGTTTGCAAGTGCATTATAAGTGTATCATGAGCTATGCAAGTAAGTGTATAATTAAAACTATTTGATTGTTATATATACACAAAATAAATTTAACTTATTGATTACATAAACAAAACTACATGACTATTTCAAATACATATGTTTTCATGTGTTTTCATTTATTAATATTTTCACATATCTTTAGTTAGCTACACTGAAAGGCTAAAGGTACAAGATAAAGATGATTGTTTATATACTTTATATGATATGTGCAATTGGATTGATCTTGAAAAACCAGCAATAGAGTATTATAATTTACAAGAAATTAAGATTATAAATTACAATGAACTACAAGCTGCAACGCAAGCAGTCTCTAATTGTTTGAAATGTATACAATTTCCTGAGTTTATCGGTATCAATTTTGATATCTTAGAATACTGCGTGCCTTCTTTAATGCTTGGGTAAGATTTTATTTTCTTTTAATTGATTAAAAATACTTTATTAGGTAAAATTTGTAATATTCTATTTATTGTGCATATTTATCTTGAATTTATCTCAATCTTTTGGCAGGATTCTTGATAATGGCAGTGCTTTTTTTAATGTTCCTTCGGATATGCAAACTTGTCAAGATATATTGATTGCTTTACATGTAAGATATATCTTCAGCAAATATGTGATATCCAACAGAGAAGTTGTATGCCAATTGAATATTCATGGGCAGTCTGTATACTTGACAAAATTGATACATGTCCCAGAAAATATTATTGGTAATAGAAAATGGCAACAATTTGCATATGCAATTGCTACTTCAGGATCAACTGGATTACCAAAAATTGTTAAAATTCCTCATTCCTGTATAGTACCTAATATTATAGACTTGAAGAGAATTCTTGATATGACAGAGTGTGATAAAATAGCCCAATTAACAAATTTTACTTTTGATCCATGTATTGTTGAAATTTTCTTAAGTCTTTCATGTGCTGCAACATTGTTCATGGTGTCAAAACAATTAAAGAATGAGGTAAACAGGTAAGTATTGTTTGAAGAATTCATTTTAGGAAAGAAAAAAAATAGAAGAAACCAAATAGTGCATAAAATGGAATTAAATGTTTTAGGCTCTTGGAAAAAATATACCATGCTCATGTAACAGTTCTTCAAATTACTCCTTCATTACTCTTTCATAAGTGGTCCACAGAATGTTTAAAGACAACAATATTTGATAAGGATTCTTACTTGAGAGTTCTTCTCTTAGGTGGAGAACCATTTCCTAATACTAAGTTACTTTCTAAAGCTAGTCATCCACAAAATAAGACACGATTGTTTAACATTTATGGTATAACTGAAGTATCATGTTGGTCCAGTGTTAATGAAGTTATTAGAAACAGTGACATAGATGAATCTTGTATTGGTGAACCTTTATCAGGAACTATGTTTCAACTCAAGAATGAGGATAACGAAATAGTAACTAGAGGCAGCGGCTTTCTTTATATTGGTTAGTTTTTAACAGGGTTGGGAAAGTTACTTTTTAAAAATAACTAGTTACAGTTACCTTTGCTGAAAATTTAACTAGGTACAGTTACAAGTTACTGGCTATGAAAAGTAACGAGTTACTTTTAAGTTACTTTCTTGAAATGATTGTAAATTATTATTGTAAACACAAAAATCTTATATTTTAAGCTTTACTAAAATGTACGAATTGAATTGTATAATTAATATCTATCACATTAATTAGTCTATCTACTTAACAAATTTCAAATTTGTACTTAATATAATAAAAATTTAATGATAATCTTGTAGAGGTAAAAGAATTTAATCACACACTACATAAATATGTTGATAAATTTCCCAGATAGCATAAAGAAAAAGAATTCAGTCATATATCACAAATTTTGAGTTTATTTTTAAATGCAAAAAGAATTCTTTTCACTGAACTAAACTTTGAAGAACTCTGTTTGCATCTGAAAATCTCAGAATTGGTGACATCACTGGATTTTTTAAAATTCTTTTTGAATTCTCTGTGTTATTTGGGTTATTAAATTAATATATGATTACTATACAATTTTAATTTTATTTTACATTCCCCAAGTAAGTATTATAAAAGTAACTGTTATAAAAGTTACAAATTACTAAAAATAAGTAACTATAAGTTAAATTATAGTTGAGAAAAAAGTAATTATAGTTACCAAAAAAATGTAATGTAACTGTAACTTCGTTACAAGTGACGAATTACTTTCCAACCCTGGCTTTTAACATTATAATTTTATATGTGAAATTTGTAAAGTTCAATTGTATAACTTCTATCTATTTTCAACATAGGAAGTTCTAGTAGAATTTGTATTATTGGAGATGAAATTGAAGACAACTTGTCTAAGCCAGTTTTTCGTGATACTGGTGATATTATTTCAGTAAGTTCTATTAATAAATTATATCTCGTGCAAAAATTTCTTTCAGTAAGGATCACTTTCAATCACTTTCAATGAGGATATATCATATTGATTTGTAATTTTATTTTTATTTTTTTTTTTTTTTTTTTTTTTTTTTTTTAGATAGATGACCATGGTAGGATGTTTTATAAAGGAAGACGAAATAATGTGGTAAAAAGATTTGGAAACAAGATAAATTTACGGGAACTCGAGAAGGTCGTAACAGAATTAAATTTTGTACGGAATTGTGCTGTGCTCTGGGACACAGAAAGCCACAAATTATATCTATGTTTATCTACGGCGAAAACTAAAGAATTTATCAACTTGAAGAATGACATAATATCGCATTTAAGGATATTACCAGCGATCTATAAACCTGATAAAATAATTATAGTGGAACAATTTGATTTTACTACTAGTGGAAAAATTTGTCTGTCGTCACTGAGAAAAGTGTGCAAAGACTCTGAAACGGAAGTTACCAGTGCAAATAATTTGCATGCTGATGTGGGTGAAATATTTCAAAATTTATGGAATCAGCATATAAAATCTAAAAATGTTGGTTTTTTAACGTCAGGAGGAACGTCAATAACAGCACTTCAGATCTCAAGTGCTGTTGTTGAGATGTTTAAAATGGAATTTCCCGAATTGATTGGTATGCTGCTAAAGGACGTTACGTTTACCAAGTGCGTTAATTATATCAGAACCACTTTAGCCAACCGAGATTGGAACGAGAACTTCAATCGATACATTGGCGTTTCTTATGATGACAAGATCCAAAATACCTTTAATACAGAAAAAGTCATGATAGAAAAGTCAGTTTTGAATAATTTTCCAATATTGACAAATCGAAATAATTCTTATCAATATAAATGCAGAGGAAGAATTGATGGCGATGTATCAATACAAGAACAAAACATTAAATTACTGTCGGCAAATATATCGAGCATTGAAGTAGTAGCAACTTATAATTTGCAGAAGTGCATTGATGCCTCGCCAACTGTGTATTGTTATTCCGCGTAGGTGGTTTAAAAATAATATCTTAATTGTATATATATCAGAGTTTTTGATAGTGTTTGCTAATTTTCAGATCAGAATTATTTGCAACAGTCGGTTCACATTCTGGGATTATATGTACAATTAATCTACTAGAAATAAATAGTAAACCGTATGAGTTCAAGTTACCAGACAGAATAGAAGCTTCTGTCTTAGTCTTAGCCGACTTTCATGGAATTGTAGGTAAGAGTCTCGAATCGTAGCGCAATTAAACGGTTGAGAAATGTCACTTTGAAAGCTTTTAATCGCAGGCTGTTACGATGGATATATCTATTGTATTCATTTGAAAACCGGCAAAGTAATTTGGAAGTTTCAAACGCAGGACATGGTGAAATGCACGGCGATAACGTGTATACAAAAGAGCAAGATATTTGTGGGTTCCTATGATCATCATGTATATTGCCTTTCAGTAAAGGTCTATATTAAGTATAATTATTGTTATTAAATTCACGAATCTCGTTGTACTGGAGGATCAGATTGCCTGAAAACCGTGCTTATTTTTTATGACTAACTTAATGAATATGTGAAAGTGTTATTTTGACGTGTATTTATACAACATATAAAGAGAAGAAAAATATAATTTTGATAATCAAATACTCAATATAAATGTATGGTACATGCAGTTAAAATATATTTCGTTTTTTTTTTTTCAAGGTCGTCATTTTGCAGTAGTATCTTGACTCTCGATGGTTCAATTAAGCTGAAATTTAGGTAGAAAATTTGCATAAGTTTATCGTTATTGGGTGAACCACTAATAGAAATTGAGTAAAAGTTAACAAAATTGCAAATATTTTAATGGAATATTATTAAAATTTTCAGTTTTTTTATAGTGAAAATTAATATTTTAAAATTAAATATTTTCACGAGTTTGTCAGGTTCACCCGTCGTCGATAATGACAAGCTTACGGAAATTTTCTACCTAAAATTCAGCATAATTGAACCACTGAGAGTTAAAATATTACTGCAAAATGATAACTTTGAAAAAAAAACCGAAATATATTTTAACTGCATGTACCATACACTTATATTGAGTATTTGTTCATCAAAATTATATTTTTCTTTTCTTTATATGTTGTATAAATAACATTTTTTCGCATATTCATTTAGTTCGTCATAAAAAATTGTGAAAAAACGAACGATTTTGCAATCTGACCCTCCAGTTCCCTTAAGATTTTTGGTCTCTGGCAAGAAAATGTATGCCCAAAATTCTTGCGAAATAAAAAGATGTACTCATAAAATGACACTTGCAATCGATCGAATACATTCATAAAATAGTCCGAATACTTTGCTTTCACTCTAATAATCAATAAACTACAGTAAAATTAACCTAGCATGCAATATTTTTAATGTTTTCACATGATTCTATTAGGTTAATTTATAGTTATATATTATAGTTTTTTAGTTATAATATATAGTTATATATTGATTATTAGAGCAAAAAGAAAGTGTTTGGACTATTTTACAGATTTGGTTGATTGATTGCAAATGTCATTTTGTGAACACATATATATATATACATACACACACACACACACATATATATTTTTTTAATTATCTTTTAAAGGGTTATTTGTGTCATAAGCATACATACCGCATACATACTAATTATAATATATTGTACTAATTATAAAATATAATATAAATTATGTATGTTCACACATTATTTTGCAGGATGGAACTCAAATATGGAAAAATAAAGTGAGTCAAGGTGGTATCTGTGCTACTGGCTGTTTGCATTTGCAATCTGCTTCTATTCTCTTCGGAACACTGGATAGCACTTGTCTGGCTTTGCGGCAATTTTCCGGGCAAGTTACATGGAAACGTAAATTACAAAACCCGATTTTCGTCGCACCCACTGTTCTCCAAACTGGACACGTTTTATTTTGCTCCGTAGCCGGAACGTTATATTGCTTCGATATCGAAACGGATTGTCAGGTAAATGTAAATTCTTCTCCGCTTTCTTAGTACTATGTTATACTGATATTGTTTTTGTTATTACAGATGTGGCGTTACGAGATATGCGGTAATTTATTTTCATATCCCGTGAGTACTCGCGTATCCACAAGCAACGCTGAACATGTTGTTCTAGCGAGTCACAATAAACATTTGTATTGCTTGGAAATGCCGCAAGCAATAATGAAAGAAAAAGAACCAAAATTAAAATACGCATTACAGTTTCATTCGTCTATTTTCGCGACTCCTTGGTGCCAGGATGAATACATGTTCGTGGCATGTACGGACGGCACGTTCCAAGTGTTCGATCTTTTGAACGGCAAATTACTCGCAACTAAACAACTTCCCGGTGAAACTTTCTCCTCGCCGGTTGTTCATAACGATCTAGCTGTTTTGGGATGTAGGGATAATAATCTTTACGTATTGAAGCTCAGTTGAAACGGATCAGCATTCTGTTTAATGCAAACAGATATATTATTAAAATTTTCGTTGAAGTTTCATATGGACGGAATTGCAAAGGACACGATTAATACAATATCGTTTATTCCATTCAGCTCTCGTGTTACAAGTATGGATAACGATAAAAGATATCCATCGTAGTTGACAGATGCGTGTACCCACTTTCCATCGGATTTTCATACGTAGTGCGAAGTTGCGTGTGCCCGTTGCGATATCCATCGAGAGTGCAAGTGAAATGTAAATATAAGTAAAATTACCGATTTGTTTCTTTTCCGAAGTAAAAAGAAAAAAAATTTAGGGCAATAATTAGTCAATCGATGTACACAGTATGAATAGTACGCACTTTTTTACTCGTCTTTCCTCCGCTCTCTCCTCCCCTTGTATCTTATCTGATAACGATATAATACAATATTAATAATAATATTAGAAATACGTCCGCGTTTTTATTATGCAAAAGAAATAATCCGGATCTTTTAAACTCACATGAAACAACAATACTTTAACGATTCAATTTTTTCATATTTATATATATGTGTACATATTTATATTTTATTTATATATATATTTATTTATATAGAGATCTATAATTATATATATATATATATATATATATATATATATATATATATATATATATATATATATTTTTTTTTATTTCTATAATGAATGCTTGGCCGCTCCAGATGATCCCCCTTTCGACGTTTCGATATCAATTTTCGATTCTGTCTCCTTTTTACTTTTTTTTTCTCTTAATACTTTTCGTCAATCCTGTCTCAGACGTGTACAAATATGAAATTTCACTAGCTCTAATTCCGTTGCGCTCATGTTGGAAATATCTACCCAGGCTACTGATACTCACGACTTGTTCGCTAAATCTTTCCTCAATAAAAGGATAAACGAATGTGCGATAGACGAAAGGAAGATAGTTACAATTATATACGCGAATATATATAAAGCTTTACATTGGAGTTTTAATTTTAGTCTAATTTTGGTATACGATCGATAAGCAACGGAAAGTTAACGAAACACCTCCGCCCGCGCGTCTCGGCGACTCATATAAAAGTATATTTATTATTCAATCGATTGTTTTTCTTCAAAGACAATAAATACAGTTCAGATAACCTAAATCTAACCGATACCCGTACATGGCCAACGTAAATTCCCATAATTCACAGTAGCTAAGCCTTTCCGGAAATATTTATAATCTAGGTGTGTACAGATGCTAATCTAGACAAATGTGGTACTTACATCGCTTGTGTTACTTGTATTATGAATCAATTGTCGGTTTAACGGTTTATTGTATTATTTTACGGCATACGGTGACTCGATCGTCGACCGACTGGTTAAGTTGCGGCATACTTGTAGGACTTCCTTTTTGTACAACTGAATTTGCCAATGTACGACGTTTCACCTATATTCTCATATATTTTGATACATTAAAATATGATACATTTATATTGTATACACGCAGTGACGGACGTCTCGATTACCTTCGTCTATTTTTTTTCTCTTTCTTTTTTTCGTTATTCTTGTTTGAACGCGTGTGTGGCAGATGGAATGTACATCTGGTGCAAAATATAAATTTATAAGAACTTCTCTAATCTTAATCTGTTAGTCGAATCCGATAGTTCGTTTTTCTGTGTTAAGTCTGGAGCTCTGTGCTTTTGAACGAGACTGCCAAAGGGTCCGCGAGAACAGCAGCAAGACGAGATTTAGGATAAATTGATCGACTGAAGAAAGGTAACTGAAGGTGACAAGAAGAAAAAAAAAAGAAAGAATTTAGCCAATTTTTGCCATCGTTTTTCACTTTCTGTCAAAGAGAATCTACATTTATAATTAGGCACAGGTCTGTTCGCAGCATGACTTGTTCCGTGGTATCTGCCTTGAGACATAATCGCTACCGACGTGGTCGGTATCCGTGTGTTGTATATCGAGCGATGTTTTCTTATTCCGAATACGCGAGAATTCGCAGGGCGCTCTCAATTCTCCTCCAAGTTGTGTGACAAAGTTGCACGCACCCAATTATGGTTACTGATCCTCGTCACCCAGCTCGTGCTTGACCTTATTGAAGTCAAACTCCTCGCCGGTAGCCCGCTTGAATATATCGAGCACGTCCAAGCAAGTGGTCTCAAAATGCGTAGTCGCATCGTAGCTAGTGGATATGAATATTTGGCTGTTGAGACCGTCGTCGACAGGCACCATGTAATCAGAGATGCTGACGAACTTCTGTCTTATCGGACCGAGTAAATCCAGACCGGGTTTGATCTCGGCTTCGGGATTTTTCGTCTCCACTGTGGTAGAGACCATGGCTATAAACCAACCTTTCGCCGCGACTTGATGAGTGTGAGACACGAGCGATACGTAGATGTCGGAATTGCGACCAACCTGAGAGAAAACAAAGTAAATTCTTATTATATCAACTCACTATATGTGCGTGTGCTTAAGGGTCTGCAAGAACCAAGAGCAAATCTTGACTTTGAAGGCTATGGTAAGAATGCAAAACATCGTTCTGTGTGCGCAATTATATGTCCATACGTGAATACTAATGCATTGCTCACGCAGACACGCAACAGCTACAAATTAGTTCATTACGTTAATTTTACGATTACACTTTCCGTAATACTTGTGTTGGTGTATTTTGCCTCGCCGACATTATATTTGTTCACCAAATTTTTTTGGCAACTTCTTGCATAAGTAGCAATGGTACTACAGAGCCCGATTTTGCATTTAGATCTTTGAAAGTTTGTAATAAATAAAAATATAGACAGTACCGCGTGCCAAATATTTATTAAAATAATTTATTTGATTTTTATTTCGACTTTCCAAAAAACGCTCTGTAGCATCCTATAGACGCTTCTCTTGATTACAAATATATCATAAATACAAGATGATTCTCTTCGTATTTTGATTAAAATAATCAAATATCTTTGTCTACTTCACGATTCTTCATAATGATTCCTGTAGACCCTTAATATCATAAGATATTTAATGAATTTTAATTTCATACATTTTTACACATTTTAATTAACACATTCAATGAAACCGATTAAATTATAAATGACTAATAACTGTAATGCTATTGTATCTCATTAATAATATAATTACTGTCTCATTAAGTATAATTAATTGTATATCAACACAATTTTTCACTAATCTAATAACTAATTACATGTTGGTCGTATAATCAATTTAAAATTGGTTATACAACCAACATAAAGTTAATGAAACGAGATGAAAGATACATTTATTTATCATATTTTTAGTTAATTCATTTAAATTATTAGTTAAGATTCTTGGTCCCTTGTCGCGGAACTCTTGATTAATGTCAAAAATGAGGAAATGCCCAAAATTCTTGTGAAATACGTTGAAATAAAAGGATACGTTTATGAAGTAATGTATCAAATCAATTAAACATATTTATAAATTACGAAAACTTTCCTTTTGTTCTAACAATCAGTAAATAATTAAATAATTAAAATTAACATAATATACAATTCTCCTATACTATTTCTACTTAACCTACATTTTCTCATGATTTTTGTCACGTTAATTTTGCGATTATTTGTCGATTGTTAGAGTAAAAGGAAAGTTTTCTAAATAGTTTACAAATTTACTCAATCACGACTGCAAATATTATTTGATGAACATATTTTACTTCAACATATATTATGTAATAATTTTGAGCGTGTATTTCTCACTTCTGATATCATTAATCATAGACGTAAGAATATATCGACAGAGCGAATTATCGTGGGGGTAAAGCCCAAGAGGTGAGGAGAATGATTGTATATATTGTATGGAGTTGAGGTACCAAGATGGCGACGGTCGCTGTTTTTATACACTGAAAATATATACAAACTCCGGCATTAACATGGCCGCGACAATGTAATCCTCTTGCCCCTTGGACTTCACAGCCCCTGGTCTATAATCGCACTTTTCGCTCCGTCCATGTATTCTTACGTTCATGTCATTAATTAACATGATCACAGCGAAGTCATAGGAACCTTAAGTTTTAATAGAAATAAATAAGATAGTTTAGAAAAGTTCTTTGTTGTGATTCTGAAAAGAGTAAACTCTCTTATGAATGATAAATTCACCGAGTTTATTTATACATCTTGAAATTTTATCTGAAGGAATCGTATTTTATTTGTACCTGCTTCTGAGGAATAATGATTTGCGTGGATAGCGCGTCGGCCGTATTTGGTATCGGATGATCCATGAGGCATATGCATCTTATTACCTGACCAACCTTCTTCACAAGATCAGGTACGTATGTAGGATCACAAAAAACTTGTTTGCATTGAGCTATTTCATCACCGGAACGAACACCTATCACCTGCGCAAAATGACAGCCAACTTTAATGGACTGAGGAATTTACAATTAAAGGATGTATATCCATATCTTAAAGATAAAAAAAATTACAGATTAAATTATATTGCATCTAAAAGTGACACAATTTGACAATGATTCAGAGCTTGGTTATTCCAAGTTTGGTTAAAATATATTTTTTACTTTTGCTGTTATGGAAATATTTGTTGCAGTTCTTAATAACAAAAAAAATAAGTAAAAAATAATGACAAGAATTTCATTTTTTATAAATATATACTTTAAGTATTCAAGATGATATATATCTAGTTTCATTGTGATTTAGAGTTTACTCCTGTAATTAATTCAAAATTTGTTAGAGAGAAAGAGAGAGAGAGAGAGAGAGAGAGAGAGAGAGAGAGAGAGAGAGAGAGAGAGA